CCCTAACCTTCATGATTTCTCCTCCTTCCTCTCCTTTATTCTTTCTCTCTCCTAATCTAAACCTAACCTTCCTCCTCTCTCCCTCTTCCTCCTCTCCTCCTCCAATCCCACTGTACCCCTCTCCCACCTCCCCCCTGTCATTACCGACCTCAAGCTCAACCTTTGACCCGACCATCCCCCTCTCCAACCTTCCCCTCCGCCATCATCGACCTCGAGTGCATCTTTAACTAGTTATTCTCTAATGACGATGATAAGATCTCCTCCTCTGAGCTCTCCACTGTCTTCTCCTCCCTTGACCACCTCCTCCTCTCCTCCTCTAAACTCTCCCGCATGATGGATGAGACCATCACATCCTCAAAAGCATCTACGACCTTCTCTTCTCTCTCCTACATAATTTCTCTCATGTATATGATATTTGGTGATTTGAAGATTACTTATAAGGTATTTGATGAAATGCCCAAAAGAGATATAGTTTCTTAGATTGTGATAGTAATAGATCATGTCTAAAAAAAAATCATGGAGACATTGCCATTTTTTCCTACTACTTCTTTGTCCACTTTCTTTTGTAAAACTCACAACATTTTAACATAACTTGACAGATAATAATATACCCATAATAGGAAATGACTTAGAATTAACACGAAATGACTTAAACTTCACAAGGAAAGACTTAAAATTCATAGGAAAAGACTTAGACTTAACACAAAATGACTTAAACATCACAGAAAATTATTGAAATTCACTGGGAAAGACTTAGACTTAACATAAAATGACTTAGATTTAACACGCAAGGACTTAAACTTCACAAAAAATGACTTAGACTTAACACAAAATACAACACTCTTAACAGAAAATGACTTAACCTTAACAAAAAATGACTTAATCCAAAATGTGATAACCTTAATATGAAATGACTTAATATTATTATCAAGGAATAAGGTAATCTTAGCAGAAGATCATGAAAGCATATACTTTTCTTAATTCTAGAAAATAATGTATTTACCCAGTTTTCTGGAGCGTAGTTGATAACAATTACATTCAATTTCATTTATTTTTTCTTTTTTGCTTTTTCTAGTCTTTCTTTGGCCACTTCTCACAAAATCACAACTTTATAATATACAACATAACTTAACATGTAACAATATATTCATAACAGTATATGACTTAGACCTAACACAAAATAACTTAAATTTCACATGAAATGACTTAAAGTTCATGGGGAAGGACTTGCACTTAACGTGAAATGATTTAGACTCAACACACAATTGCTTAAACTTCACAGAAAATGACTTAGACTTAATATGAAATGACTCAATCTTAATACGGAATGACTTAAACTTTACAGAAAATGATTTAAACTTCACATGCAAGGACTTCCAACTTAACACGGAATGCGTGCATTTTGAAACCAGAACTATCTCGTGGTGTGGTCTTATTACTAAAGGTATTCTTTAGTTAACCCAAAGGAAGCCAAAAATCTTCTTCTGAACATAAAAGTAAAGCAACAATGTTCACTGCTTAAAACTAGTTTTGGGGCTAATATGTCAAACACAATTTACTAAAAAGAGTAACATATATAAAATCTTAATCTTGTAAGCAATACATCAAACATCTGTTGGGCATCAAAGATAATACTCAACTCAAAATCTATACTTGGCCTAAGGCCCCTTATGTTCTACTCTCCTATCTAAATTGCTAATCCAAAACTATCCAGTTCCATTACAAACATCCTAGATTTTGAAATGAAAGCTGTAGAGATGAGTTGAGAGCAATTCTAGAGAATATGTCATGCAGCAGATTCTTAAGTTGAGCAAAAAAACCCTCTTCTTGGCGGTGATCTCAGGGAAGCAGAACTTATCACAGACAATGGAGGCAAACTTATTAAGGATGTGTTCGAGGTTAGTGGTGGCAAAGAGGGAGGCAGAAGAGGCAGACTGCGAGGATGGAGGGTGCACTTGAGGTTGGTGTTGGCGAAGGCGGATGCACAGGAAGGAGACAACAAGTTCGGAGTGTGCATCCAAGGTTGGTGGTGACGGAGGAGGAAGCGGGAGAGAGAGATGGTGTGGTCAGAGGGTGCACTCGAGGTCAGTGGTGGTAAAGAAGGAGGCGGGAGAGGGGGAAATGTTAGGATTAGGAGAAAGAAGGAGAGGAGAGGAGGGAGGAGCAGCCATGAAAATTAAGACTAGAAGAGAAGAGAGGGAAGAAAATAAGAGTATTTTCGGATTTTATGTTTTTTTTCTTTTTCTATGCTGAGTTGGCAGAGAATAATAGCTGAAACACATTATTGAATTGTATTAGGGGTTTATACATAAAGATAAACCTACAAGGGGCCAGGACACATCAACTTCTCTCATTTTGCGCCTTACACAATTTTTATAAGAAATAATTTAATTATTTTATTTTCTTTATTAATTTTATTTGATGTCCCCATCCTTGCATCCTCGAGCAATAACTCTGATCAACCAGAGTCAATTCAGATTGGCTGGACCGCAGGCCTCATAAAAGCTCCACCAACGGCTCTCTGGAATCTCATATTTTCTAAGTAGCTTTCATTCCCAAAATCTATAGATCATTTGTCTTCAGTCCTTTCTTTTTTGCCCCTTTAAACTATTTGTTTTGCCTCTCTATATATACCTCACGAATTATTTTTATTCTCCTCTCATTTCCTAAACTATCAAATTTGTCTCCATCTATTTTCCGATCTATTTTAGTGCTGCACTACTCTTTGATTTATATCTCTTAGTATCAAGTTACCACTTCTATTTTATTAATTTATGGGTATTTTAAATGAATCAAATGTTGATACTAAAGTGATAGTTTATGGTGTATAAAATGAGGCAAATTTTATAGTTCAGGAATAAGATGCGACTACAAATAGTTTAAGAGGTATGAAAGAAAATGTATGTTTTACACATGCAAGTTGGGACTGAATCCTTTTCATTAATATTTGGAAAATAATTTGGAAAAAGTCATATTAACTGAGAATCCTTCTTTCCGTTGAAAACATCATTGTAAAACTTTATTTTAGAATTTATTGTAAAAGGTACTGATCATGAAAACTCTCATACTCAATATCAGGCTTCAACCGTACCCGGAAAGGAAAAAGAAAAACGAATTATGTTTTAACATACTCCGATAATGAACAGTGAATGTTATTTTTTTTTTGTTTTTCTTCTTCTAGAGCTTTTTGTTATAATTATTATTTTGAATAGATTCTAATATTTATGTTGGACACCTGCATGATCCGATACGGTTTTACCGCTGAACTAGACCTCGAAATTTATAATCTTTCCATAGTATTATTAGCAAAAGCTTTGCTACAGGGACCCAAAATATGGGACCAACAGGGGGGACAAGTGAGATGTTCCCCTCTTAATGATGACCAGCTCATTATGCAATAGGAGGGGGACACCTCACCTGCTCCCCACTGTTGGTCTCATATTTTGAGTCATTAGAGAATTTTTCTATTAGCAATTAATGTCCACTTCACTATAAAAATATATATATTTTTGGGAATTTTTTAATTAAAAATCCAAGAAACTTGGAAGTTAAGTTCCTTCACTTTCAAAGATGGCACAATCACGCCTAGCTAAAAGAAACGTCAATGAAATGAACATTTTTCTTGTCTTATTTATTGTTCTTGTCCAAGTCTAAAGTCCAACCTTCTTACGCCATAAACGGTTCAAAATGAAGTGCTCTTTAATTTTTCTTGGCGTCAAAGTCTTCTCCTAGTAGATTTTCAACTCTATTATTTTTCTAATCACTTTATTTACTTACTTCCAGCTATTTACCGCGATTGCGGTTTTAATCGTACAATGGTAGATTTAGTTGTAATTGTATTTGTTTGTTTTACTGCGACGATAGTTTTTTAAAAAAAAAAAAATTGTATTTGAAAAATATATTTGTTTAAAGAGATGACGTGTCCAGCACTTCAACTCTCAGCTTATTATTGTCCATATAATTTGCATGAGGGATCTGTCATGCACTATATATTAATCTTTATTAACATTAAAAAGTACCTAAATCTTTGGAGGATTTGATGAAGACATACTACTAAGGTTTTAATTAATTTAATAGCTAATAAATATCTGTATAATTCTTGAAACAAGGCCGTTGAGCCTGATGGCAGATTCATAGGAGGTGCTATTATTCAAAGAAAAAAAAACTTTAAACTAATTTTTAAAAAAATACTATTTACTAAAAAACCAAGATACTGCTACTATTTGAAAAATTAAAGCATTAACCACTCAACTGTTTGTTAACTGAGGGGGGATCTTTTGATGACGTGGCCACACCGCTGAAACAGAATCTTGATTAACTGACTCTCACCAATTTGAGTTGTTGACGAGTTCCGATGGCCTTGAAGACGAGAATTATTATCTTTAATAATGTATTATAGAACCGCACAATAATATCAGGAAAAATTCCTCAAGGACCCAAAATATAACACCAATAGGGGGACAAGTGATGTGTCCCCCTCCTATTGGACAATGAGTTGGCCATCATACCATCTTAAATTATGTTTTTATATATTGATGATGCCAATAGGTTCGAATCAACATTTGTTAAAAAAAAAAAATCCTATAACCAGGCTGTTTTGATTCCTAATCTCTTGCTTTATTTAAAAGTAACATTCGTTTATTAAAAAAAAAAAGAGGTAATGATACTTGCTTAGAAATAATTAGATGAGTGCCAAAAGAGAGATCAAAGAGCTATTTGGCACATAATAATTATATGCAAGTATTAGTTGAGTGGTTTAATTACAAATTGCTAACCAAGTTATAAAATTTTCTAATTTGAATTTACAGTATCAGTTATAAATATATTTATTTTGGTAAATCAAATATTCTTGGACTTGCTCTTTTGATTGTAATTGTCACTTCTAACCCTACTCAAGTTATTGGTTGCGATCGCAGCTTTCTTATCAACATTTTGTGCAGCTGAAACAAACGACTACAATTGATTCAAAATATTCAAGAGAAACGCGACTGGCAGTCACATCAAACCAAAGTTTGCGGGCTCAAGCCCAATCATCAAAGAGGAGGGGCCGTTCGTTGGGCTAGTGCAGGCTGAACTTCTGGGCCCCTTGCAAACAATAATCCAGTACAACAACAAGAACAAAATATTAGCTCGAAAGAAATATCATCACATGAATCTTACCAGCAACTAGTTCCTATATCAACATCTCCATCCACATCAAGATTATTTACTCACCACCGGGAGAATCTTTAAAACAATTCCCCACCCAGAACATTATCAAGACCATCTTCTCACCCCCTCTCCCAAAAGAATATATAGCAATAAACCCCTGCAAACAAGCAGAAAGATCGAAGATGACGAATGCCGCCACAGAATTTAACTACCACCCGTTGCAGCCCGTTTCCTCAACCTCCCACGCGTGACGCGTATCGCCTCTTCAATAGTCGTCTCTTGAGGAGGAGGTGGATTGGAGTCTTTGCTCGATGTAGCATTATTGGCCAGTTCAATCTCCATTGCCTCGGGTTCACTAGGGGTAGCGGAAGATGGAACGGTTTCAGAAGAAATTGGGATGCTAAGAGCCTTGGCTAGCGTTTGAGGCTGAGCAGTGGAGCTCGGAAGGCTAGAGGACTTCCCTAATGATTGAGACTGAGCAGCAGCAGCAGCAGCAGCAGAGGGTACAGGTACTGAAGAAGGTGCCAATGTCTTTGTAGGTTCTTGTGGCTGGCTTTTTGAGGAAATAGCTGGGGGTGGCTGTTGGCGTGTAAGCTGATGCTGAGGCTGTGTCGGTACTGCTGGTTGGCGTGTGGATGTGGCCAGCGCTGTTTGACGAACTTGCTGAGGTTGCTGGCGTTGTTGCTGCATCGATAACAGGGAGATATTCTCAAAGGACATGTCTATAAATTATACAAGATATTGTCATACTGTTCCTAATTGACAAAATGCGGAAGATAATGTACTTTAGTTATATTGCAGAAGAGGCATGAATTGCAAAAGTAACATGTCAACCTATATCAACCAAATGAAAAGGTCAAGGAATTGGATATTAGTAGCTCTCTACACATTACCAAGAATACAACGCCACAATAACTTTGTCACTGAGTAGTTTTAGCATGCATATCAAATATGAATAACAGCAGGATCAACTAGAGGATGATGTGATACCGAGGGTGGAAATGGATTCCATATCTTCTTAGCAATCACAGATACAAATACTAATACAGACATGGTTTGATAAAGAAAAGCCGTAGTCCGTATCTGTCAAAAGTCAAATATAGATATGCATCGGATATAAGGGAATACTAATGGACTCCATGAGCAGAGAACATGTCATCCTAGAAGATAATTACTCCCTCAGGAGGATCAGAGAGCATTATAAGTGGAAAACCTGCATAATACAGTGACAAAGTTATTAGAGGAAGCACAATATTTGGGGTATAACTATGGGAGAGGTAATCTGATCAAAGGGATATCATGACCTCAAGTTAGCCGCCAGGAGGAGTTAGAACAGTTTACTGAAGCGAAGTATATGCTACAATGAAATATTGTTTGGAAGCAATTAGGATACAATAATAAGTAATGGGGCAAGGCAAATTAGAGGTAGGCCTAAGAGATCTTAATCACAAGCAGTTAAGGATATGATAATAGTTATTAGAGAGGATTCTTGACAAAACTGAACTCATATAGCTGGCCCAAAATTTGGGACGAAAGCTTCGTTGTTCTTGTTGCAAAGCACACAATATTACGTTACAGCACATTGCTTTGCACGAGATTTAACAAACTTACATACTTTGCATACGACTATTAGCCAGCTGGATCAAATGATTGAAATACTCTCTTCTCTTGATATTTAGAAATAAAAGAACAAAAGGGATTTTCAACTATAAAAGATGCAAAATGGATTTTCAACTATAAAAAATGCCATTTGAAGACATGGGAAACTGATGCAAAAGCATGGAGTAATAAAGGACGCAGTATAAGGATAGAGATACAACTTAATAGCATTATCCAGTAAAATGCAAAAAGCCAATCACATCTTACTCTTTTCAAAAGAGCTAGAATTACAACTTTGAAGAAAGCATTTGAATCTTGTAAACAAAGTATTTTTAATAAAATTGAAGAGAAAATTAAGGCAAAGACATGAAGATTTAATAAAATTGAAGAAAAAAACTAACGCAAAGAAATGAAGATCTTAGGAATCATTTATATTTCCAGTGCAAAAGAGAGCCAATTTCAAGTATTTTTCGTATGGCCTAACTTCAACATTAGTACATTACTCTAGATATTTTTAGCGTGGTATTCACTCTTTCTATGTCATGTCAGATAAATACATGAGAATTGACATGGCATGTGGGTTGAGATTTAACTATGTAAGCCTAAGACATACCTTATCTATTGGAAGTAAACAGGTGCACTAAGTGCTGAAAGGAGATGGATTTAGAGCATTGTAAGATGAGCTTCACCTTCTACATGGTTTTTGTTGGATCTGAAGTAGCATGGTCCTTAATAGGAGAATTTAGGGTTAAAAGGATTATTCCAACCACCAATAGGTTAAAGAAACTAGGGGTAAATTAAAATAACTCTAAAAAGGAACAAATAGGTGCAAGGAAAACAAAAATATCTGGAAATTATGATATAAAAAAACGCAAGTCAAGGCATAAGAACAAAAAGTTTCAATGGTGAAACATCATGACTAGTTACGCCAAACGTAGCAATAAAATGATGATGGTCTTTTCTTTAATGTTGATCAACAACAAAGTAAACTGATATAAATCATTTCTCAATCCAAAAGCAACATAATGTTAATAAATTATATAATATTTAGAAGCAAATTGCCAACCCTAAGGGAGGTGAAGAAATCCTTGCCAAAATTTCTTTTATATCTAAATTTCTTCCTTTTATATACACCATTTAGGCACTTGAACTATAATCAACAAACCCAGTGCTGTAGAAGAAGTTGATTGGGAAATTCTTGCCAGTGTTTAAGACATGAAAACAGATAAGGCATCTTGCATTACTGTCAAAATTCTTGACTTTATGCAAAAAAAGAAAAAGATGCATTGAGTTTACTGAATAAGAATAATTATTGGTCAATTGCTTTCTGCTTGTGACTACCTTGATGTGAAACATTCATAAGGATGCGTATGAAACGATTGCACGCATAAGTCCAATCTATGCACCTATTGATGATTTCTTTTACAAGCTCCTCTTGGGAAACACAGTTAATTATCTCATCATAATGAAGAAAAAACAAACAAAAAAGACGGGAAATAAAAATCACAGAAGCCGCATAGATTTAGTACCTGAGCAGGACGAGGTAAAAAGACGGGAAATAAAAATCACAGAAAACAGTGTGGGAGCATCAACAAAGAGACATTAAACTCAGTAATCTGAAGACTTAGTACCTGAGCAGGACGAGGTCTTGATGACTGAGATGGCGACTGCGAAGCAACATATTGTAAGATTTCATAGATTCTTGTCTGACCATAGCTAGCAATTCTCTGTGAATAAAGAACGATCATGTCCCCAGCTCTTGTTCTCAACTCGAGCAAGTTACGATCAATCTCAGTCTCATGCTTAGCAACATAAGGTTGAAAGAAGGTTTCATAGACATAAGCCGTTCCCTATCATTGTTCGCTTTAGAGTCTAAACAAGAGATATACAACTGATATAACATATAACTCAATTACTAAATAACAGACAACATACCCTGGTCTTAGGATACCAAAGATATACAAAAAATGCCACCTTAGCTTCACTGTACATAGGCAACCTTCAAAAATAAAATATTAAATCAATAAATAAATCTGAAGTTGGTGAATGGCGATGTAATATTTCCCTTACATATAAAATTGATGAACTTACCATGAAACAAAACTTTCTCCCACTCTTTCGAATACCGTCAACGCAGCGACTAGGATCCTGAACAAAAAGAAAATGAATAAAAAAAGAGTGTCAAATTCAGGGGGTTAATTGCGGACAAACACTGTATTATGCAGGTTTTCCACTTATAATGCCTAACTATTTTATTAGCATATGGAACCCCAGAGGGTGACAAAAAAAATCTTCAACCGGGGGTGCAATGCCTAATAAGATAACGATAATGTAAAGAAAGAAACCCACCAATATTGACACCAAAACCGCAACTGCTCAATCTCCGGCTTGTTCAATTCCACGGCTTTATAGCACTCAAAAGCTGGATAAGCATAGCCAAGAACCAATCTACAGGTACAAAAGCGACATAATCTCAGCCCAAAGCCAGCTAAAAAGCAATGCGAGCCGAAATAACTAATCAAGCCCCAAATTACTTACGCTAGGGCTCTCGTGACAAGAGATCCTATCATTTTGAACAGAATAACATGTACAATCCGGTGAACTCCTCCTCAATCCTCACCTAACAACCACGAAACACCAGCAAATACTCAAATTTAGGGGGAAATTAGACATTACAACAATTAACTAAACCAATTTTTTCGAAAAATTGCACTAAATGCAGGATATTCCAAAGCTAGGGCTCAAGATGTCTCTAAATTCATACGCTGCGACATATAATCAAGCAAATGGACGGGATTCATCGCAGAAACCCTAGAAATTTGCTAAAAATGCTCAATATAGAGGCTTAATTGCTAAAAATACTCAAAATCGAAGTAAACAAATGCGTCGACTGAGCAAAGAATATACAAGGAAAATAGAAGGAGGACATGAGATCGATACCTTTTTTTTCTGAGATTAATCCACGAGAAAAAGAGGGGAAATGGGGAGAAAAAGGAAAAAGGAAAAAAAAAAAGACCGCAGCAGCGATTGAGGAAGCGTAAGAGAGAAAGTATTTGTAGGTTTTGACCGGAAGTTGACCGGAAACTTTGAGCCGGTTACCGGTCGCCGGTGATTTCGTTAGAGAACGGCGATG